CCCTTGTCAAGGAGCACCTTTTTTTTCTTTTTATTTACTTATTTTCTTTTTTTTATTTTTATAAATTTATTTTTTATTGGTGTTTAATTTGCCAACATATAGAACAACACCCAGTGCTCATCCCGTCAAGTGCCCACCTCAGTGCCCATCACCCAGTCACCCCCACCCCCCGCCCATCTACCCTTCCACCACCCCTGGTTCGTTTCCCAGAGTTAGGCATCTTTCATGTTCAGTCTCCCTTTCTGATAGTTCCCACTCATTTTTTCTCCTTTCCCCTTTATTCCCTTTCACTATTTTTTATATTCCCCAAATGAATGAGACCATATAATGTTTGTCCTCCGATTGACTTATTTCACTCAGCATAATACCCTCCAGTTCCACCCACGATGAAGCAAATGGTGGGAATTCATCGTTTCTAATGGCTGAGGAATATTCCATTGTATACATAGACCACAGCTTCTTTATCCATTCATCTTTCGATGGACACTTTCTTTTATTTACTTGACAGAGAGATAGAGAGCCAGAGTGCGCGCGTGCACGTGTGTGTGTGTAATCACAGAGGGAGAAGGAGAAGCAGGCTTCCCAATGAGCACGGACTGGGGGCTCCATCCCAGGACCCTGGAATTATGACCTGAGCCAAAGGCAGATGCTTAACTGACTGAACGACCCAGGCTCCCTGACTTTTTTCTTTCTTTTAGTTCTCTGTTGCAAGGATTGAGTTAATTATTTACAGCAAATTTGTTGTTGTTGGTTTTATGCACAACCCTTCTCTTACTTTATTTTTACTGATTTATTGATTTTTTTAAATCCCCACAATCAACTCCCAACCATGTCCTTCATAGGCAACTCTTCCAATGGTTCTTGTATTTTTTAAAATATTTAATTTATTTATTCATGCAGGGAGCCCGATGTGGGACTGGATCCCAGAACTCCAGGATCATGTCCTGAGCCAAAGGCAGATGCTTAACCAGGCGTCCCTCTTCCAATGGTTTAATGTGTACCTTTTTAAAATGTAGGTATTTTTATTTTACATAAGTAGCTTTAGGTCGTATATGTCATTCTGTTGCTTATCTTTTATTTTTTTTTTAAATTTTTTTTGTTTATTTATTTACGATAGTCATACAGAGAGAGAGAGAGAGAGAGAGAGAGAGGCAGAGACACAGGCAGAGGGAGAAGCAGGCTCCATGCACCGGGAGCCTGACGTGGGATTCGATCCCGGGTCTCCAGGATCGCGCCCTGGGCCAAAGGCAGGCGCCAAACCGCTGCGCCACCCAGGGATCCCTGTTGCTTATCTTTTAAAACTAGCACTAGTTTTTAAAGAAGTCAACTTTACTCAGCTATGATTTCCACAAAATAAAATGCACCCATTTTTAAAATTGAAATTCATTTGCCAATGTATAGTAAAACACTATACTTACATCAGAATGCACCTATTTTAAGTCGGTAAATTTTAATGAGCTTTGACTCCTACGTGTAGAACATTCTTAAAGTTCTCTCGTGTTTCTTTTCAGTCAATGCCTACCCTACCTCTTCTCACCAGCCCCAGGGAATCACTGATGTGGTTTTGTTTTGTTTTGTTTGTTGGTTTGTTTGTTTTTTTGTCACTGTAGATTAGACTTGTCTTTTCTAGAGTTTCATACATGTAGATTTATTCAGTATATTCCCTTTTGGTGTGGCTTCTTTCATTCAGTCCAATGTTTTTTAGATTCCTGCATATGATGTACAGCAGCAGTTAATGCTTCTTTATTGATAAGTAGTATTCTATTAGATGAATAAACTGCCATTTATTTCTTTGCTACTTGATGGATATTTAAGTTGCTTCTACTTATGATAAATAAAGCTGTTATGAAAATGTATGTGCACTTTTTGGGATAGATGTAAATCTTTCTTTATCTTGGATAAACACCTAGAAATGGAATTGTTGGATTGTATGCTAAGTGTGTTTAACTTGATAAGAAATCATCAAACTAAAAAACAAAAAAACAAAACAAAACAAAAAACCAGAGTGCCTGGGTGGCTCAGTGGGTCAAGTGGCTGACTCTGGATTTCGGTTCAGGTCATGATCTCAGGGTCCCGGAATTTTTTTTTTTTAAAGATTTTATTTATTTATTCATAGAGACAGAGAGAGAGGCAGAGGGAGAAGCAGGCACCATACAGAAAGCCTGACGTGGGACTCGATCCAGGGTCTCCAGGATCATGCCCTGGGCTGCAGGTGGTGCTAAACCACTGCACCACCGGGGCTGCCCTTTTTTTTTTTTTTTTTTTTAGGGTCCCGGAATTGAGCACTGCATCAGGCTCAGTGCTAAGCATGGAGCCTGCTTAAGATTCTCCCTCATTCTTCATTTGCCTCTCTCTCCCCTACTCCTGCCTCTTTTTCTCTTTTTCTAAAATAAATCTTTAAAAAAAACCGTAAAACCAAACCAAACCAAAACCCCCATCAAAATGACTTTCAAAGGGGTGATACCTTTATAGTGAGCACTGGTTTTCAACATTCAACCATATTTATTTTTGTGCACCTAATTCTCCAGCTTATGATAACTCTCACCATATTCCCTAATGGAAAGTGTGGAGATTTCTTTGGACCATTTCTGGGTCACAACAAATGCTTAAACTTAATTCAACTGCATGTCATTAGATTCCTCCCCAGAATGGCTGCTTCCATCTCAGAGTAGGAGCTAGGTTTTGTGGGGCCTGCCACTTTTAGAATTTGAGGATTCTTTTTAAGAAGAACAAAAGGGGTGCCTAGGTGGCTCAGCAGGTTAAGCGCCTGCCCTCAGCTCAGGTCATGATCCTGGAGTCCAGGGATGGAGCCTGGACTCCCTGCTCAGTGGGGAGTCTGCTTCTCCCTTCCCTTCTGCCCCTCCCCCTGCTCCTTTTCTTTCTCTGTCAAATAAATAAATAAAATCTTTAAAAAAAAGAACATAAAATTACAAGCTCAAAATTAGGTCCAAAAGTGAGTATGTATTGAGAATGAGCTAAGCAATTACAATAGATGACTGAGACATTTTAAGATCATTAGCCTGAAACGCTTACTTACTAACATTTCCTGATTACAGCCTGTTTCTCCTCTTTAGCTAGAACATTCTAGAATTCTCAACACTCATAAGAATCCAAGCAAGTGACAGGCCTTGAACCTACATGAGCTTCATAGTCTTTCTTCTTCTGGTCCATACTCCACCAGCAGTACATGAGGATTCCTCTCTTCTCATTTCCTTGACCTCATTTGGCATTATTCAGCTTTCTAACATTTGCCAGTCTAGAGCCAGCCTGCTGCCTGATTTTGCATGGCCCATTAGTTAAGATTGGTTTTTACATTGTTGAATGGTTGAAAAAAAATGAAAGGAATAATGTTTAGGGAAGTGTGAAAATTCTATGAAACTCAAATTTCAGTGTCTATAAATAAAGTTTGATTGGAACACAGCCACACCCATTTGCTCACACACTGTGGTTGCTTTTGGTCACTATCTGGGCCTTTGTAGAAAAGGTCTGATGACCCGAGGCCTAGAGGGTTAATTTTTCCTGGAGACAACAGTCCTATTCCATATATGAGAGGAGATATTCCTTCTGTTGGTTTGTCCCCGTTTCTGCCCATTTTGAAATGATAGCTCTTCCTATTATTATTGTTATTATTATTATTATTTAAAGATTTTATTTATTTATTGATGAGAGACACAGAGAGAGGCAGAGACATAGGCAGAGGGGAGCCTGATGTGGGACCTGATCCCAGGACCCTGGGATTATGACTTGAGCCAAAGGCAGACATGCAACTCCTGAGCCACCCAGGCATCCCAGTTCTTCCCATTATTGTGCTAAAAAGCATTTGGCTCTTTTCTGACCTATGTGCTGGCCTTATGTACCAGTAAGCCATTACTATATATCCTTCCACTCCCAAACTCAGGGCCTTAACACAGAAATGCTTTGTTATTACTCAGGTGCCTGCAGGTAACTGGACTTTGGCTGGATAGCTCTGCTTGGGGCTGGAGTAGCTGGGCAGCTTTACTTCTCACTGCAAATCTATGGGTCAGCTGGAGTAGCTCTACTCTATGTATCTCTCATCGTCTTTGGACCACTGGGGTATGTTCTTCTCATGGTGACAGCAGAGGCACAAAAAGGCAAGTGAAAACATTCATTGCTTCTTAAAGCCTAGGCTCAAAATTGGCACATTGTCACTTCTGCCCATGCATCATTAGTGAAGCAAGTCACATAGGCAAGACAAAAGGGAGGGAGAGCGAAGCACATCCCTCCTGGAATGAGACCTTACAAATGTGTGGATTCAAAGAGGGGTGTAAAATTGGGGCCAATAGTACAGTCTACCATGTGTCATAGGAAACACCACGATGGGAGCAAATGGCCTTTCCTTTGCCACCTAGGAAGATGCTACTTGTTCTTCTCGAACACACACTGTTAAAAGTAAGGTCTGTGGCCTTCCTGCTCATTCCACTCCACAAATGCTGACATGTGAACTTCTAGTGGAGATGGCCATGGAGCTTTTAGGTATTTCCCTCTGCTTCTGCCCCTTCTTTACTATCCTCTAAATGAACCACCAACATATGGGACATCCAAGGGTGACATCACGGCTGGAGGGAACCCAAGGAATACAGAAGTATCAGTCCTTTTCTGTCTCATTTCTCTCTCTTCTTTTACCAGACATCATGAATTAATAGTAAAAATGTTTCCCCTTTCTTGGCTCCCCAGTTATATTATAAACCTCTTCAAAGGCAAGCCTGTGTCTTTGTTAACATCTCTTCCCCCTGTCCTGACCTCCTCTGGAAGTGCAGACAAGGAGGTATATTCAGTAGCCAGTCAACCAGTGTGGTTGACTACTTGCCTGTCTGTCTAATCTTAAATGACTGTTCCCTTTCTGGTTCACTGATCATGGGCCTGCTATGTTCCCCGAGGCAATAAATAGCAGTGTGGACTGCCTAGAATGGAGATCTCTGCCTGTCTTGCCAGCCCAGAAGCCTCAAGCCTCCTAATCTTCCCCTGAGCATCCAGCTTTCATGAAGCTCATTCTCCTGATGTTGTCTGTTGCCCTGCTCCTGGTCCAGGTCACCCAAGGTAAACAGGATCTCTCCCAAGGAGCAGTGGGTCATGTTCAGGGAATTCTGGGGGGCCCTAACAGCCTGGGTGAGGAGGATGGCAGGCTCCCTGCAGGCCTTCGGATGATCTCTGTAGCCAAGGGAAAATTTGAGCTGTCTGATACCAACTGATTTTGCCACTGCCCTTACTTGACTGCTCTGATCTTCTTTGCTCTGGAAGAGTGGAACATGATGATCTGGGAAGAGGATACATGGAAGAGAGATTTGGATGTGGAATATAGAGAAAATGGGTACTTTTCCAAAAATATTGAGGAGGGGACTTGAATTTTGATCTAGGGTTGCCTCCATGAAAATGGTTCCCGAATTTATTTTCTTTTAAAGTTTCCATCTATTCATTTGAGAGAGAAAGAGAGTATGCACACAAGTTGGGGGGGGGGGGTCAGGGGAGGAGCAGAGGGAGAAGGAGAAGCAGGTTTTCTGCTGAGCAGGGAGCCTGATGGAGGGCTCGATCTCAGGACCCCAGGATCATGACTGAGCTGAAGGCAGATACCCAACTGACTGAACCACCTGGTAACACAGTTCCTGAATTTCTGATTGAGGATTCTAATTCCTTTCTCAGGCAACTTCAATTTATCTGGGCTCCTTTAGGTTCCTCAGAGCAGCTGTTCCTAATGATCTTGGCTGGTTAAGGCCAGTGAAAAGGTCTAGGATGTTGTGCAGTAGGGAGTACAACATTCTTGGGAATTTTACGATGCCCTAGAGGATTTGCAGATTTCCAGATGAGTGTAGTTTTGATTCCTGTCCCATCTCATTGATATGGTTAGAGAGGGTACTGAGAGCAAAGGGGAAAGGTAGCTGATACTGGGCACCTGCTTCCATTATTCTATGGGGGAGATGAACCATTGGGAGAGAGGGGGACCGCCTGTCTTCCCCAAAGAAGCTGGCCAGGGAGGAGAAGCTGCTTCATAGGTCCCAAGCCACCAAGTGGGGAGGGCTTTAGGACAGTGACTGAGGACACAAATGAGAAAAGAAAGGATAATGGCCCATAATCTCTCCTAAATCTGGAGGATGCCTTGTAAGGGCTTCTTCCCCACATATGTCCTATTTTCCTCACTAACGTTTTCTCTGCTGGACTTTGACCTCCTCCTTCCCCAGGCTTCTGCTTTATTTCAAGACTGATCCTGCTCTCTCCTTTTTAAAACAAAAAAATTTTTTTGTTGTTGTTCTCTCCTTCCCTTTTCATTTCAGCCAAGTCTTGCTGGGGTAAGTTGGGAAGGTGCAGAGCAACGTGTGAGAAGAATGAAGTATTCCATATATTGTGCACCAATGAAGCTAAGTGTTGTGTACACCCCAAGCATGTGCCTATCGGAGCTGGATCCTCAAGCGCACCTGAAAGCCTGGGGTAACCTCTGCAAGTTGTCCCCTCTTGCTTAACTTTGAGTCCAACATCATTAGAGCCCACCATTCTATTAAATCATTCTTGGCTGTACCATCTGTGTCGGGCAGTTCTGCCTCATTAGACTTACGAATCAATAGCAAAGGAAGGTATGTGTGTGCAGATTGAGGAGAACAGGGTGGACCAGTAGGTAGTGATAGTCTGTTTTGCACAAAGCTCCTAGCCTGCTGGCCCGTCGCTTGTCCCAGATGCTGTAAATGAGGAACGTTCATTCCAGCCATTTGATTCTTGTTTTCTAGGCCAGCACTGCTGGTAGAACTTTCTGCAATGATGGAGTGTCCCAGCTCTGTGTTGTCTAATATGGTAACTACTAGCCACAAGTGGCTATTGAGCATTTGAGATGTGGCTAGTGAGTAAGTGCAGGTCTCTACCTGTTGCACCCTTGTTCGAAATGCAAAAGCCAACCCCAAAAACGTTCCAAATGTCCATCAGTAGGGAAAAGAAGGATCTATGCTAGTGACTACTACATATCACTGAAAAAAGATGATGTAAACATACCTGACTCCAAAAGACCTATTGTGGGATGAAAAAAGAAAGAAAGACATTCTCTGAAATGGAAAACAAAACATCAACTAATACTATATGTTTTCTAAAGGTACGTGTATATGTATCTAGTCAGCAGCAGACAAAAATACAGATGCAGATCGCTTGTTTTTTAAATCATTCATAAATACATATTATGTGATTTTTATGATATCTCTTCCCCCACAAAAGGCATTGAGCTCCATGAGGACATTAAAAAAGAAGAAGAAAGAAGAAAGAAGAAAGAAGAAGAAGAAGAAGAAGAAGAAGAAGAAGAAGAAGAAGAAGAAAGAAGAAGAAGAAGAAACATGGCTAGTTGTAACTGGAGAACTGAATATTTAATTTAATCTATACTTGAGTTTATATAGCTAAACGTGGGTAGTGGTTATCATATTGGACACTGTAGATTTAGGGTCTTGAGATACAGACTGCTTCCTTTTCTCTAGTTTCATCCCAAAAGTCCGCAACCCTCCCCTGATAAGACTTGCAGTTCTCCTGTTAGGGGTTCCAGGATTGTGTCTCACAGTTTTCTTTTTTTTTTTTTTTTTTAAAGGCATTTCTTTTTTTTTTTAAATTTTTTTATTTATTTATGATAGTCACACAGAGAGAGAGAGAGAGAGGCAGAGACATAGGAAGAGGGAGAAGCAGGCTCCATGCACTGGGAGCCCGACGTGGGATTCGATCCCAGATCTCCAGGATCGCGCCCTGGGCCAAAGGCAGGCGCAAAACCGCTGCGCCACCCAGGGATCCCTCACAGTTTTCTTCAAGCTGCAGAGAGCTGGTACCAGGCTTCATGTGGGTTCCTGCTCCATCTCTTTCCTTTCCTCCCAGTTGAGGCCTCATGATATTGAATTGTGAGCTAGTCTTTTTCTAGGACAGATCCTGAACTGAGACAATGAGGATCTTCCCATCACCAGCCCCATGATTTGAGTCATGGTCTCAAGTGTTCCCAACCCTTGCTGCTTATCTGACTAATCATAAAGGACTTGATTCTCTATTCCAAATTGAGAGGTTCTATTCAGCATTACCTCCTCACCATCCAGTCCCTTCATATGAGAACACTAAACTGGCCTCAGCCAGTTTTGAAGGTCTCCATTCAAATCCGTGATTACATATCTGCTGCGTGATGCTAGGCAAAGTCATTTAACCCTCTCTGTTTTATCTTCTCATCTCTAAAGTGAGGATTTATCCTGCCCGAGGCACAGGATTGTCATAAGATTAAATGAAATATTTAGGTAGGAAATGCCCAGCATAGACGGTAGGGCACATTTGATCCTGATAGGACTTTGAATGCCCTCCTCTTCCCTTCTCATATCAGGTCTGCCGTCTTGGCCCCTTGAATGTTCCTTGGCAATGCCTTTGTACACACCCTATTATTTCCCACTATTTTCAGGGCTGCTGTCTCCACTCAGTCCTTCCTTGGCATCCTCCTTCCTCTTTCTCACACTCTAGGCTTTCTACCTTGAGTTTTGCTGCTGATCTTTTCATCTCCCTCACAGGTCAGATTGTCCCACATCCTGGCACCCAATTTCACAAGGGTTCCTTATGGCATATAGCAACATTCTTCAGCATATTTGATGATAACATACCTTAAACATGTCATTGGACGTAATGATTTGAGTTCATCAGAGACAAAGTTAAACAGAAAGGGCCTTTCTTGGAAGGATCCCATGTAGCTCATAAAACCTATAGGTAGTCTAGACAATTGAGCTTGAAGGACCAAGGGAGAGTGAGCTGCAGAAGTAATCTACTGGGATCCCACCAGAGCATTGCCATCCTGGCACCGGACATCTGGAGTCTTGCCTGGATTTCTCCCACAGTGGCTTCTGCCTGCTGGCTACCATGTGAGTATTGTCTCCATCTTCTCTGTGATTTGAATTTAGTCCTTTAGGATTCAAAGTCCTTTGCTGGAGCATCCAGTTGGCTGAGCCTGGGTTATATGCCTGCCCACTAACTCTTGAAGTGGGGCAAAATAATATTTGCCTTTAGTGTTTTCTGTAGTAGGACATCAGCCCTCCTTTCCAACAAAAGCCAAAGAATGGAAAGTTTCTCAGAAGCTGAGTGTCTGAAGATGCTGCAAGTGATCCCTACCAGGGAATCCTACCCCAAGCCTTTGCCTTCACTTGGAATGTTTCCTTTCCACTTTGACCTTTCTGAATGCCACATCCTTGATTAGGAGAGCAGGGGGAGGTGTTATGGTGTAACATATAAGGGGGCACTCACCCTCAGGGTCATGTGAGTGTCTCCTTGTACCTCCTTCGCCTCCCCCCAGTCCCAGCATTGCCAATGGCATCCTGCACTTCTCCTTTGCACCACGCACCATACCTGTGTTTATATTTGTTCAATGTCTGTCTTCATGATAGACTGTCATTCCCATGAGGGCAGAGACCATGGATGACTTTTTTTCTGTATCTCAGGACAGAATCTAGCACAAATTGAGCATTCAGTTAATATTAGTTGAACAATTTTGACTTAATTAGATATATGTTTGACTTAAAATAGATAGCAGGAATGGTCTCACAAGAGAATTCCCTTTTGCAGGCATCATTTCACATCGGAATAGAGTCAGTGTTTGACAGTCAAAAACCACAGAATGGTATTAGAGATACACATTGCGATTGTAAGACTAGACACTTAGCAGGATGGGTACAGTTACATCTTCCATCACTGTGATGGCCATTGGGCAACACTTCCATTATGGGATTGGATTGAAAGGTGCACTTGTGTGAGTCAGGCGATGACTTCTCCAAATGTCTGGAGTATTTGTGGACACCATGCTTTGCCTTAAAAGTAAAATCATTATGTATTAATGAGATCAATTATACAAATATACTTTGTATTTTTAAAACACATATTGTGACAGGGTGACATATTAAGAATTTATTTTTTTTAAGATTTATTTTTTATTTTTTCATGATAGACATCAGAGAGAGAGAGAGAGGCAGAGACACAGGCAGAGGGAGAAGCAGGCTCCATGCTGGGAGCCCGATGTGGGACTCGATCCGGGACTCGATCCCGGGACTCAAGGATCGCGCCCCAGGCCAAAGGCAGGTGCTAAACCGCTGAGCCACCCAGGGATCCGCCATATTAAGAATTTAATGTAGCAATTACCTGATAATTTTTCCCCATGTTACTTGAGCAAGCATCAGCATAGAGAGGGAAAGGATCTTTTTTTTTTTTCCTGCCCAGTTATTGGAAGGGGCGCCAAGATTTTATGTTCTGAATCCTAATCTTCCTTTGCCACTGGGGAAGTGAAAAAAAATCTGTGTGTGTGTGTGTGTGTGTGTGTGTGTGTGAGAGAGAGAGAGAGAGAGAGAGAGAGAGAGAGTTAGAGTTTCAGGGGCTGCCCTGAAGACAACTCTCCTTCCTCCCCCATCCTCATTTCCTTAGAGAGGCCCAGGCACAAGGAGGGCTGTTAGATTGGATTGTCTTAGGAGCAGTGGGATGGAGATTTTAGCTTCAGGTTCTGGAGAGGAGTGGCTTGGTATTTGGAGGTGTTGAATCTCCACCCAACTGGGAGAAGAGATGGGGGTTTGGCTCCCAGGCTGTTTGATAAAGCGCCCTGAGCTAAGTACTTGCATGGGACTGCCGGCATGGAGACAACCATTGCGGAGACAGCCACTAAGGTGTGGTCCTGGGAGAAGCAGCAGGGCCTCTGGGGTTGGGCCCTGGGGAGGAACAATTCTCCAATGCCCAGAGTTGCCTGATTAATGGCTGGTGGAATTCATCAGCAATAACCTGAGCATGAGGAGCAAGAGAAATGAGCATCATCATCATGAAGCAAGGAGCAGGTTCCTCTTCATTTCCCGGAATCATAGAGTCCTGATAGGATCAAGTGGAGGAGGGCAGGAAACCCCAACAGCAACTGACATTTGGACATCTCCCCAACTTTGCAAGTTGTGTCTTGGAGCTGAGATTGAAATACATATAAATAAAGAAAGCACTCGTTGAGGCTTGAGTGTTGGCAGAGCATTCATAACTGGTATGTGATCATTAATGTGTTAATGACTTTTAGAAGCAACACTCTCACTAGCATCTGTGTCATGGCACATTGCTTGAAGCTTGCAAGACACAATGGGGGGTTATACTGGTGTAGGGGTTCCTCCTGCTGCCAGCCCCCCTGTCACAGCCTCGCCACACTTTTATGCAAACTTGGCCTCATATCACCTCTCAAAAGCCAAAACCCCTCATCTGGATACTTTTCCTGCCTCCCTGGGAAAAGTAAGGGGAAGATGTGAGTGCATGCAAGTCAAAGAAATCTGTAAAAGGCTGTGATTTATGGTTCTAGTTTCTTCCACCTTCTTGTCATATATCTTTTAAAGATTTTATTTATTTATTTGAGAGATAGAGAGAGCACAAGCAGGCGTAGGGGTGGAAGGCGAGGGAGAGGGACAAGCAGGCACTCTGCTGAGCAGGGAGCCCAATGCAGGGCTCGATCCCAGGACCCCGAGATCATGACCTGAGGTGAAATCAGACATTTAAGCCACCCAGGAGCGCCTCTTCTTGTCATATAATTAACTTCATAGGTTAGAGGGAAGGTTTGTGGAGATAAAAAGGCCTGTGTGGGACCTGCTGGGAACTTGCACTAGCCTTTGTCTCACCCTCTGCATCATGGGATTCAGGCTGCGGAGAGTGGGCAGCCTTTCAAGAGCTGAAAAATGCAATTGTGCAGATTTCAGGGAGTGGGTGGTACAGGTTTTAGGGAACTGGCCAGGCCGGGCTGTACTGTGTGGGAGGCAACAGAAGCTACGGTTTGTTCTGGTCTTGGCAGGATGTGGGAGATACTACACAGTTCCCACGGGCCAGGCTGGCTCTCTGACCAAGGTCTGCCTCTTTCCCTATCTCCTGGTCTCTTCTCCCACAGTGGCTTCTGCTTGCTGGCCACATTGGCAGCCCCTGCTCTCTCCTGCCCACTTCCCTTCACCTTGGCTGGGGTCTCCTGGCTTAACAGAAAATCACCATGGAACTGTCATGCTTCAGAGTCAGAGCACTGTCCCAGTGGGGCTGAACTGGACAGAACCCTAGGTCTTGGCATTTGATGATCTGAGAACAAATATGCATACGCACACGCACTCAAGAACACACAAACACCCACCCACTCAATTACACGTCTACATGCAAATGATATGCAAGTATAAACATACTCACTTGTAAACATTCACATACTTAGATATATAAAATACACACAAATAACCCAGGCATTCAAAATATACATGAAACACACAAAGTGTGAGCCTACACAGCTATGCACAAATTTATACACACGCATAAATACACAGAGATACAATGCAATACAAATGTTAACTCAGATACCCAACTAGAGATGTGTGGTTGCAATTAACCCATCTTTTTGCGTTTCTCCTTATCTCAGTCAAGGCTGTTTCTCTGAATCTTCCCCATGCTTCCTGGCAATCTGTGTCTATGAGGATTCGTCAAGGGGCTTAGGAAGCATTACAAAGAACCATCATGGGGAGGGGCCTGGAGTCCCCAGGGTGGAACTTTACAATAATAAAGCAGATACTTTAATTGCAATTGGGAAGTATCAGATGTGTGCTGTGTATTCACTACATACTTTCTGTGTATTCACTCATTTGGTCCTCATTAACAACCTCATTAACCTCATTAACAACAAAATAAGTACTATTATCACCTCCATCCTATAGCCAAAGAAACAGGTTCAGAGTTGATAACATTTTCCAAGGTACTACTGCGAGGAGACTAACTTTGGAACCCAGGCTTGCCAACCTCCTGCTCTGCTGTCTCGTTCTGTGCTGGATCCAGCAGACACTGAATGACATCCTCAAGGACACACAAGCTGCTCAGTTCCCAGTCCTGCAGCAGATGGAACGCTTGAGGTCTCCACTGCACTTGCTGAACGTTTACTCCTTTTACACACTTTCTTTATGTCTACACTTTTCTGGCTATACTGCAGGCTTTATAATCTCTCCCCGGAGGAGAAACAGCCTCCTTGCTATTCTTTCCTTCTAATTGCCTCTGCCCTGGAATTCTCTTCAATATGGGCTGCCAGAGTGATTTTTCTAGGAAAAAAAATCTGACCATGTCCCCACAGGCATGCCCACTCTCTAAAAGATCTTACTATTCCCCGTTGCCCACAGGATGGATGCCCCAGCCCTGATCATGGCATCGAAGAGGATCCCCTTCATGTGATGGTGGGGTGTCTGCCTTATGTCTCCCTCTGGGTCTCCCCTTCTGTCTCAAACATTCACAACCAAAAAAAGCAAAAAACAAAAAACATTCACAACCATAACTGTTTGCTGATCTTCTCCTGACCATCCTCTGAGGAAATTGGCTTTCTGTCTTCCGTTCTCCCTGGGAAGCCCCTGAGTGGTTCATGTCACCTGCCCAACCTCACTTTTGTTAGAAGTGAGTTGGGGAAAAAAAAAAAAAAGAAGTGAGTTGGAAAAAAAAAAGAAGTGAGTTGGAGGTTTATTTATTTATTTTAAAAAAGATTTATTTATTTATTGAGAGAGAGAGAGAGAAAGAGGCAGAGACACAGGCAGAGGGAGAAGCAGGCTCCATGCAGGGACCCCAATATGGGACTCGATCCTGGGCCTCCAGGATCACACCCCAGGCTGCAGGCGGCGCTAAGCCTCTGCGCCACCTGGGCTGCCAAGTTGGAGGTTTATAATAACCACTTCTGAGGATAACAAAAAGAATAGATATGAAGATGACAATGATAATAATAATGACAAGGAAAAACAACAGTAATAATAGTTAACAATAATTCAGCACCTACTATGTGTCAGGTACTTTGCTAAGCGATTTATATAAGTTATCTGTCCCACTTAATTAAATAGGGATAGTTATAGTTTTATTGTAGGATGCTCAGGAAATTTACCTTGCTTCAGGTCAAAGGTATCAAATGACAAGGCCAACACTCAAATTCAAATCTATATGAACTCAAAACCTATCCTCTGGGGCGCCTGGGTGGCTCAGTGGTTGAGCGTCTGCCTTCAGCTCAGGTCATGATCCTGGGGTCCTGGATCAAGTCCTGCATCAGGCTCCCTGCACAGAGCCTGCTTCTCCCTCTGCCTGCGTCTCTGCCTCTCTCTCTCTCTCTCTCTCTCTGTCTCTCATGAATAAATAAATAAAATCTTTAAAAAAAAAAAACTATCCTCCAATCCTGGTATTCTAGGATTCTATAATTCTCTTATTTTTTCTTCTCCCTTCAGAATTTCTGAGGTTCTGCAGGAAACCCAGTCTTTATTCAGTTTCTTTTTTTTTTAATTTTTATTTTATTTTTTTTTCTTATTCAGTTTCTTGAGATGCTGAACTGAAGGGACACAGTCTATGTGCTTTCTCTACTCTCTAAAAGAACTTGAGTTACTTCCCCAATAGGTCGCTTCTCACAGGTCACTTTTGCAATGTATGTTATTTATTCAGACCACAGGTATTAATTAAGTACTGTGATGTGCTGGGTGTGTCAGAGGTCGCTAGCTCTTCCTCATTACCTTCCTTTTCTTCTTAGTAAGACTACCCCTGAATTTTAGGTAGGCGTGGTTGCCCAGAATAAAGAAAACGTTTCCAGCCTACCTGCAGCTGGGTGTGGCCACCTGAATGAATAAGTTCTGGCCAATGGACTGGAGTGGACGTGGTATGTGCTGATCCTAAGTGGTGTCCCTTAAAGGAAAAAGCGTGCACTTCATTTCCTCCTTCGTCCTTTCCAATGGCTACCATGGGAACTCGACATCAGGAACTGGAGCAGCCCCCTTGGGTCATCAAACAAAGCTGCCTGTGGAGGATGGCAGAGGCATCAGGCCACGGGGGAATTTGCTCCTTGCAGCACCAGGAAGTTGCTACACTCAACTGCTTGTCCAGACTTTTCCATAAGAAAGAAGCCAATGTCTATCTTTTGGAATCCTCGTTTGGGGAGAATATCTGTTGAAACACTTGAATTAATATCCTAATCTAGCTGATGGTATGGGCAGTTGGGGGTTACAAGGCAAATTTCTGACATTCTAATGGAAGACAAAAGATTAACCATGTAAAATAAAATTGAGAAGAACAGATAAATCTATGCAGGTCATGAATCAAGTTATAACGACATAGAGTGACTATAGGTGGGGGTCTCCTTATCTAGGGTGACCAGGAAAAGCTTACCCAGGAGGTGACATTTGAGATGAGACTGAATGATTAACTGGAGCCACCCATGGAAGAATCTGAAGGAAGAACTTTACAGGAAGAATCAAATAAGAAATGCTAAAGCCCTGAACTGGGAACTAGATTGGCAAGCAAAGTTCAGAACTATATGCCTATTATGTATTCTTCTGTTAGAAAACTGAAAATAAGTATTTTTTAAAAATTAGGTGTTTCTTGATACATATTTACATAAATTTTTTTAACAAATTTTTTTTAAATTTTTATTTATTTATGATAGTCACACACACACAGAGAGAGGGGCAGAGACACAGGCAGAGGGAGAAGCAGGCTCCATGCACCGGGAGCCCGACGTGGGATTCGATCCGGGGTCTCCAGGATCGCGCCCTGGGCCAAAGGCAGGCGCCAAACCACTGCGCCATCCAGGGATCCCTGTTTACATAATTTTTGAAATGTATTTTTACATTTATTTATGAGAGAGGGTTGCCTGGGTAGCTCAGCTGTTGGGCATCTGCCTTTGGCTCGGGGCAAGATCCTGGGTCCTGTGTTGGGCTCCCTGTGGGGAGCCTGCTTCTCCCTCTGCTTATGTCTCTGCCTTCTCTCTGTGTCTTTCATGAATAAATAAATAAAATCTTAAAAAAATAAATTTATTTATGAGAGAGAGAGAGTGAGCATACGTAAGGGGGAGTGGGAAGGGCAGAGAGAGAGAGAGAAGCAGATTCCCCACTGACCACGGAGCCCAATGCAGGCTTCCAGCCCAGGACCCCGGCATCATGACCTGAGCTGAAGGCAGGCACTTAACCAACTGAGCCCCCCAGATACTCCCAAATAAATGTTTATGTATTAATTAATCCTTTTGTGAGTCTTAAAAGGCCAAGGGGCCTTAATCTGTCTCCTCATCAGTAAAGCAAGCCACTCTTGGCACGGGTGCTGGCCAGTTTCCCACACTCTCATCTTGTGCTTTGCTATGACATCTGCTACACACTGTCCTTCAGCCTGGCTGATCTCATATAAATCCTCTCCTGCTATAATTCACTGCCCACAAGCCTGCCAATAAAAGCGAGGCTCATCCCTGCCGCAGAGAACTCAATATCCATCCCCTGCAGCACAGTGACCTCCTTCTCCTGTGACCTGCCAGCCATGAAGTTTTTCCTCTTTCTTGTCATCCTTCTGGCTGTGGAACCAGTGATATCAGGTAACTTGATATCTCTCAAGTGTCTGGGATCTTGGTCATGAACTTCTTGCTTTCCTCTTCTCTCTCCTGTAGGCAGCATGAAACTTTTTCCTCATTTTATGAAGCTTTTGGAGGTTTTCTCCTGATCAGCTCACATCCACATCTCTCTGATTCTTTTTTGCCGAGGTGGTGGGATGGTAGCTCTTTGGAGCACCTGACACTTAAGAGCAGGGTGGTTTTCTGGTGGAATCGTGGGAGAGGATTTAGGGGTGACGAGTTGGGTGCAGATTAGGGGACTTGTTGGGAGCTCTGGGGCATTAATATTAGAGAGGCTAGGCATGAGCTGTGATGGGGAGAAAGACCTTGGGGTTGAAGTGGCAGGGGGAAAATTAGGGTGAGTCGGAGATAAGGTGTTGGGCTCCTATGATGGTTTGGGGTGGGCTGGGGAGGGTGAGGGGATGGGATTTTTGGATTGAGTGGAGATGGTGCTGGGGGGTAGATTGGAGCTTGGGCTGAAGCTGGGAGTTGGTACTAAATAGTACAGGGTGTCTGATGACTGCTGCTCAGGATCTAGGTTGGTGACTTGATTAAATTTGGGTTTGGCTTGGAATTCAGGCTCAAGGGGCATTGAGCTGGGTAAAGTTGGGAGTTCTACTTAAGATTGGATGGGGTTTTAGTTTGAATTGGGTGAATATGGTTAAGTGGATTGGAGGTTGGGTTGTGGCTGGACCCAGGTGGGCTTAAGTCGGGGTTAGGCTATTGATAAAGAGCTGGATCTGTTGAAGTGTGGGTGAATCCCCTCCATCCCCTAATATTACAGGTGTTTATTGTCCGTTCCCATCCTTCCTAAGCTCCATTGGGGGGATCTTCATCGGCGTTACCTGATTCCAAAGTTAGGAGTAGCAGGTTGGAGGATAGGAAGACAGAGGGTGGGATGTCTGAAAAAGGCTTTCCTAAAAGTCTTGGAGTTTCCAGGGTTGGAATAGTTGTCCCAATTCCCTCCTCTCTCAAGATCACTCCTCCCCTTTCCTGGGACTGTGTTCACTGTTACTTACACAGCTGTCTCCTCTTCTCCCCTTCCCTGTTCCTCCTCTGGCCCCTCTCACCTTGCCATTTGAGGAATACTAACATCTATCTGCTTACTGGTTGTTCCTGTGCCCAACAGAAGAGTGTTGGATGAATGGAAAATGCCGGTTGGTGTGCAAAAGTGATGAAGATAATGTCGTACGCTGCGAAAATCGTAAAAGGTGCTGTGTCCCTAGTCGCTACTTAACGGTCCAGCCAATGACGGTTGAAAGAATAGAACCCGGGACCGTTCCTCACACACACAAACCTGTGAAACGTAAGCCCAGACCTGACAGTAAACAGAACAGAAATGTACATGGTAGATAGAAATGGCTTTGTTTCCAGGTTCCTTGGCTCCCACAGTCCATTAAAACTCATCAAGCTGTTTCTTGTGTTCATCAATCATGAGGAACGATGCTCCAAACAGATTGAGGGTGGGGGTGAGGATGGGTGGGTGGGATGGCAGGATGGAGGTTAAGAGGTAACAGAGAGACATTGCAATGGGGGTCATGGTGACAGTCTTGAAGGTAGTGCCTCATCTATCAGCTGCAGGAAAGGCTACTGGAGTGGACTGAGAAGCACGCCTGGGGAAGCCAAGAGCCTGAAACACACAGCTGACACCAAGAGAGGAGGAGAGCCCTTGGGCGGGAGAATTGCTCCATCTTGGGAGTGAAAAGGCTAGGGGTGGACAGGGACCGAGTAGAGCCCAAATCCTTGGGTGTCTAAGAAAGTTGGCTGAGATGGCTTTTGATTCCACAACTCCAAGGATCACAAGGTTTCCAAGTGCTAAAAAAAGATAAAACATGTGAACTTACCCATTTATAGACGAGTACATCCACTGTTCAGTTCTTCTGTTCTCTCCTGGATTTAGATCTTCAGTCACCCCAGCTCTGCCACTTACCACTGTCAGACTGTTCATACCCCTCTCCACACTCCAGATTCCCCAGCTGTGATTTTGGAACCCTAGAATCTATCTCAGGATTGGGGGAAGTGGGAAAGGAGAGAATGGAGCTCGCAGTGCCCAGGACATTGTAAGCCCTAATAAATGTTAGCTGTTGCTATCATCGCTCATTGATTTCTTCAAGCATTTAAGGAATACATGCTGTGTGCCTTCCAGCTGTGTTAGACTCTGAGAGACACGGAAGCCTGTCTCATTTGAACTAAGAATTTAGCTCAGGAGGAGACTAAGCCATGGGGAACATTTGATCGGGAATCTAGAGGGCCTGGATATCTTCTTTGCTTTGTTATCTCAAATCCTGTTCTCTGGGCCCCATTTATCCAACATGATTGTTCACCCCGGAACCGTGTTCTCTGCAGTTCAGAGGTCAGAGACCAGGAGTGTTCCGTAAAGCAGGGTGCATGACGGAGATGGATAGAAGGAGTTCACTCTGATCCATGGAGATAAATTGTTCTCAATTCAATATTTCTGCCTTTAGATTCTGGGAGGAGAGATGCCTCTTTCTCTGGCCCTGGTCCTAGTTAGGGCATCCTCTGGATTAAGTCCCTCCCCGCAGGGTTAGGAATCAATGGGAGTGAGTGGGATATATCCATGCAGAAACTATGCCTTCTTCTCCTTCCATGCTTTGAGGACCATGCTTTGAGGAGCTGGCCCTGGAAGCCCTGTCCAGAGAATACTTGTGCTTGCTTTCAGGGACCACATGGACTTTCTCTAGTTCCACCCCTGGAAGATGGGGCCCACTGTGTGTGCACCTGAGCCAAGGGGTGCTCCTGTTTGCAGAGGCAGGGGGCCAGCTTGGCTGTTCAGGATGGAGCATCCATGTCTTGCATGAGAGAGTCCTCACAGTGTGGGGAAGAGTTGGGGATGAGAGAAGAAAGCTGGGCTGTGGGCTGAGCCAGCTCCTCTCATGCCCAGGATACTCATTTTTGCACAGAACTCTGAAGAATCCAAGAATTATAAATTCAAATCTGCTCTTTCAGGTCATTATGCAGAAGGACCATGGGACAGACTTTATTTACCCCACTCATTAGCTTGCTTCATAGCTGTCAAGTATGCAGACATATGATAAATGAGCCTCCATTTGCATTCCTGTCCCAGGACCCACGGTAGGGTTGTGTCAGGGTTTGGATTGTGCTCTGGCTCACAACGCATCTTGAGGCTCTCTTCAGAGGCAGGGTCTGCTTCACCTGTGCTTTCACATTCTTAACACCTATGTGATCTGGAGAGACTCTCGATCTGCACAACAGAGCTACCTGGGCCCCAAGGTCCTGGAGGAGACCACCCAAAATATTTCCTCACTGGCTTCTCTGCCTCCAGATTTTCTTTACATTGGTGTCTATTATCAGAGAGATTCTTTCTAGGAAATTCATCTTACCATGTTACTCTCCTGCTTAGATAGCTTCTTTTGCCCCTTCCTGCCCAGGGTTGGGTATAATGGCCTTGGTAGCCCAGCTTCGTTTCCCATGACCACTGCCCACAGACCAACCCTCTACAACCTTGCCTTTGCTCATGGTTCCCCTCCACCTTGTCCTCACCACCAGGGTGATCTCTGTGATGAATTCCTTCTCACCCTCAAAGTACAGTTGATGTTCCTACCCATGAAAGCCTTCCATAAGCTCTGGTTCACTATTCCTTTTTTTTAAATTTAAATTCAATCAGCTGACATAGCGTACATCATTAGTTTCAGTTGTAGAGTTCAATAATTCATCACTTGTGCATAATACCCAGTGCTCATCACATCACATGCCCTCCTAAATGCCCATCACTCACCCCATCCTCCCCTTCAGTGACCCTCAGTTTGTTTCTGAGAGTTAAGAGTTTCTTATGGTCTGTCTCCCTCTCTGAGTTGTCTCACTATTTCTTAATAATTATAATACTAATAGCTCTAATAATAGTTCCCATTGTCACTCCTTATGTGTCAGGCACTGTGCTTGGTGCTTAGGGGCCTGAAATCATTCCATTCCCCCCAAAGCCCTCTGATTATCCCTATCTTACTGAAGAAGAAACTGGGACCTAGACAACTGGTATAATTGGCCAAGGTCACACAACGGTAAGATAGAGCAGGGGTTCACAGTAAGTTCTGATTGGCTTCACAAAGTGTCACCCTTAAGCAGGGATGACACGTCACATTATCATAGAATTATGTTCATCGGGGATCCCTGGGTGGCGCAGCGGTTTAGCGCCTGCCTTTGGCCCAGGGCGCGATCCTGGAGACCCAGGATCGAATCCCACGTCGGGCTCCCGGTGCATGGAGCCTGCTTCCCTCCGCCTATTCTCTCCTTCTCTCTCTCTCTCTCTCTCTCTCTCATAAATAAATAAAAAAGAAAAAGAAAAAAAAGATACTAGCCAATAGGATCCAACAGTACATTAAGAAGATTATTCACCACGACCAAGTGGGGTTTATCCTCAGGATGCAAGGCTGGTTCAACACTCATAAAGCAATCAAAGTGACAGATCATATCAACAATAGAAAAAAAAAAGAATTATGTTCGTCCCTGCTCACTTCTCACCAATCCCCTCAAACACTTACAGACTGGGTGGAAATCCTCAGCAATTGAGACATCATCTTATTTATATCTGCATGCCAGGTGATGCCAGCTTCCAGGAATCAGGATGGGTTCCTTCCTGGGTAAGAGGGATCAGAGAGCTGTGGTATCAAAAACATATATATATATATATATGGGTCTGGCTGGCAGTGTTAGAAAGGATGCAGAGCAGCTCTGGGGGCTTGCTCAAGTTGGTTCTCATTATTCACCAGTTAGTTTGCTCTCAGAAGACATAATAGATTTCAGAGTGGGAGGTAGTCTGGGGAGAGTCGAAGGGTGGCCTGGTGTTAATGTCTCCACACACAACCATCACGCCCCCATCAAATTCACTCGCAATTCATTACGAGTGGATTTGACCCTCCTTAGGGTCAAATTAAGACCCTCCTCTGTGCTTAACACATGCACATAGAGACAACTCTGGAAAGTGATAGGATGGGAAGGTGATAAATAGGCTTGGAACTCATCCTCGAGCCATGTGAAGTTTTTAAGTAAAAAGCAACTCCAGTGCTTAACCTGGGTCTGAGTCTCTGCAGTTGGAGTCTGGGCATGTGAAATTTTGAAAATTCCCTGAGACTATTCCCTTGGGAGATAAAGCTCCACGCACCCCACCCCCACCCCAAGTCCCCTGCCAAACTTCTTTCTTTCCTCATAGCCCTCATACTGTGAGAATCTCTGATCTGGGCAATTTTCCCTTGTCTTTCTATTTCACAGGTGAGGAAAATGAGCCCCAAGGAGGCACCATCACCTACATTCATAAATAGATTTGAGACAGTGCTGGGATTCCTAAACAGTTTCTCTGGTTTCTGGTGGGGGGCCAGAGGGGACATGGAAGGGATGTGATAGAGATGTGGGTGATACACTGAGTGGTGGCACAGACTGACATGGAGCCAACAGGAGGCCAGGAGTTAGGAGCTGCAAAGCCCCTGACAGAAGTTTTGAAGCCTTTTCTTGGGTGCCACAGTCTCTTTCCAGGGGTAAAAGTTGAAGCCAGCTGGCCCATCTGATCCACCTTCTCAGATGTACACCATGTACACCCTTCTTTCGGATGTTAATCTCACAAGGGCCCTTCTTCTCAGGGAAGATGGAAAAAGATCTTATCTCTGGGGGATGTGACAGAAAGGGTGTCTTGTAAGGCTTCTCTGGTCAAAATTAAATGGAGTAGATCCTTGTTACTTAATACAAGGGATTAGGCTGTTTGTGTGTGTGTGTGTGTGCACATTAGGCTGTGTATTAAGCCCATTTGGACACAAAGGACCCTATGTGCCTACCACCAAGTTCAAGGCCTGGCAAAGACTGGGTGCTGTTAACTGTTGTTGAATGAAGGAGAGGCCCATGCATGCCAGGTTCTGAAGTTTGGGCTTGACTTTGAAGATAATAGCTGGCCAGGGCTCCAGCTGTTACTTCCAGGGAGGTACCAACATTTCCCAGCCATGTCCCAGAATGTGGAGAAGGTGGCGCTGCACCTCCAAGAGTATGGGCTTGGAGCCATACTGAGTGGAGTCTGAGGCCTCCTTCTGTCTCCAACAGTTACGGGGCCTTTGCCAGAACACGGTTGCTCTGAGCCTCTGTTCTACAATGCAAGAAGGAAAAACAGAGATGTCTACTTCAGAAGGTTATAGTAAACATTTAACAACTTACCATAAATCACAAGACTCACAGTGGGTGCTTTGCAAATGGTAATGGCCATTATTTTTATTTTTCTTTCCAGTCAAAGGATCATTCCTGTTTCGGAGACCTTAGTCCCAAGGGGGAAGAATAGTAATATTAATGGCTAACATTTACTGAATGCTTACTGTAGACTAGGAACTGTGTCTTTGGTTTCTATGTGTACACAGCCTCCAAAAAAAAAAAAAAATCTCTGGCTACCACTGAGGGACTAATGTCTAAATGTCTGTCTGATTTCATGAGTGTATTCCCGATCTAATCATTCATCATTATAGCATAGGCAGAAATGGGTCCTTCAGAGAGGACCTTTATGTAATAATGAAAACATTTATTTAGTACTACGTGCCAGTCCGTAATTGTTTTCCATTTATTAAGCTATTTTTTTTAAAGATTTTATTTATTCATTCATGACACACACACACACACACACACACACAGAGGCAGAGACACAGGCAGAGGGAGAAGCAGGCTCCATGCAGGGAGCCCAACGTGGGACTCGACCTGGGACTGCAGGACCATGCCCCGGGCTGAAGGCAGCGCTAAACCGCCGAGCCACCCAGGGATCCCAATTAAGCTATTTTTTTAAAAAGAATTATTTAGTTACTTGAGAGAGAGAGAGAAAGACAGAGAACATGAGTGAGCAGCGGGAGGAGGGGGGAGGGCAGAGGGAGAGGGACAATCTCGAGCAGACTCCCTGCTGAATGCAGAGCAACATGTGGGCTTGATCCCATGACTCTGAGATTGTGACCAGAGCAGAAGTCAAGAGTTGAACATTTAACTGACTGCGCCATCCAGGCACCCCACCATTTATTTATTAAGCTATTAACACAGCTCTAAATGTGAGGGACTATTATAGGCTACACTCTGTAGATGAGGAAAGGGTGGAAGCAGGAAGTGAAGAAATTTGCTAAAGGTTACCCAGCACGTAAAGCAGGAGCTAGGATTTGAACTTGAAATTTCTTGACTTCATTTCCTGTTCATTTAACCACTCCATAGTTCCTTAGGTTATTTTGTGTTCTAATTTATTTCAGCTTTATTGAGATATAATTAGCATGTAAACATATAGGATATTTAAATTGTACATCTTGGTGATTTGATTGCAAAAGATTCCCCCGTCTAGTTAATTCCCCACATTCATTGCCTCCTTACAAATTTATCTTTTTTTGTGTGTGAGAGAATATTTAAGTTGTAGTCTCTTAGAAAATGTCAATTATACAATATAGTGTTATCAACTATGCTCACCATGTTGTACGTTATATCCTCAGACCTTATTCTTCTCATAGCTGACTGTTTGTACCATTTAACCAACCTCTCCCTATTTCCCCCACTCTACCTCTGGGCATTCACTTTTCCACCCCTTGTTTCTAGGGGTTAGACTTTTTTTTTTTTTTAGATTAAACGTATAAGTGATACCATGCAGTATTTGTCTCTCTCTGGCTTATTTCACTTAACATAATTCCCTCGAGTTCCATCCATGCTGTTGCAAATGGAGAATTTCCTTCTTTTTCAAGGCTGAATAATATTCCATTATATATTTATACCACATCACCTTTAGCCATTCATCTGTTAACAGACACTTGGATAGTTTTCATAGGTTTGCTACTGTGCATGCTGCTGCGGTAGACATAGGAGTACAGGTATCTTTTTGAGAGTCTGTTTTCCTTTCCTTTGGGTATATACTCAGAAGAGGGATTGCTGGATCATACACTAATTCTATTTGTAATGTTTTGAGGAAAATATTGTTTTCTCTTGTGGCTGCACCAATTCTATATTCCCACCAACAATGCACAAGGGTTCCCTTTTCTTCACACCCTTATCAATTTTTTATTTTAACTTTTTATTTTGAAACAATTGTTGATTCTTAGGAAGTTGCAAAGATAGTACACAGAGAGGTCCATGTACCTTTCATGCAGTTTTCTCCCCACCAAAGATTATATTATACGGAACTATATATGGTACAATATACAAACCAGGAAACTGATACTGCTGCAATGGGTGTGCAGACTTCTATGATATTTTATTGCAAGTGTAGAGTTGTGTAATCACCACTGTGATCAAGATACAGAGCTATTCTATCAGCATAAAGATCTTCCCTCTACTAGTCTCCTCCTCCCCCGCCCCGCCCCTTTTTAAGATTTATTTATTTCTTTTAGTGAGTGAGAGAGCCAGTGGAGGAAGGGACAGAGGGAAAGAATCTTTGGGCAGCCCCAACCCCCACGCCCACTGAGCGCGGAGCCCAATGCTAGGCTCCATCCCACAGCCCATGAGATCATGACGTGGCTGCTTAATCAAGTGAGCCCCCCAGACACCTCGTTTCTCCTCCTCCTTTATAGCAGCACAGACTCTCTTCCTGCCTCCACTCTCTGCCACTATCCTTAACCTTTGGCAACTGCTAATCCATTTCTTATCTCTCTAATTTCTATCATTTAAAAAGTGTTATATAAGTGGAATCATATGTAATCTTTTAAGATTGGCCTTTTTAAAGTCAGCACTATGCTCTTGAGATTCATCCAAGTTATGTGGATCAATTTTTTTTTTTAATCTTTAAAAAGATCATTCCTTTTAAATCTGAGTAGTTCTAGCCAATGTATTCGAGCAAGGAAGAAATAAAGGCAGCCCCGGTGGCTCAGCAGTTTGGCGCCGCCTTCAGCCTAGGGCGTGATCCTTCGAGACCCAGGATTGAGTCCCATGTCGGGCTCCCTGCGTGGAGCCTGCTTCTCCCTCTGCCTGTGTCTCTGCCTCTCTCTCTCTCTCTGTGTCTCTCATGAATAAATAAATAAAATCTTAAAAAAAAAGGCATATGGATTAGAAAGAAAGAAAGAAAGAAATCTGCCCATTTGCAGATGTGATAATGGTTTCTGTAGACAATCCCTAGGAATTTACAAAAAAAAATCGAGAACTAATAATTCAATTCAGTAAGGCCACCGGATACAAGATAAACATAAAAAATTTATTACATTTCTAGTCTCTGCCTCTCTCTCTCATTCTGTGTGACTATCATAAATAAATAAAAAAAATTAAAAAAAAAAGGGATCCCTGGGTGGCGCAGCGGTTTAGCGCCTGCCTTTGGCCCAGGGCACGATCCTGGAGACCCAGGATCGAATCCCACGTCGGGCTCCCGGTTCATGGAGCCTGCTTCTCCCTCTGCCTGTGTCTCTGCCTCTCTCTCTCATTCTGTGTGACTATCATAAATAAATAAAAAAAATTAAAACAATTTATTACATTTTTATATACTATCATCGAACATGTGAACATTCCAATGAAAAATACAGTACCATTCACAATCACTCCAAAAAATATAAATGCTTACATGTATATCTAATAAAACACGTGTAGCAATTGTATGCTGAGAACTACAGAATGTTGATAAAAGAAATCAAAGATCTAAATAAATGAAGAGACATATCATGTTTATAGATTGTAAGATTCAACAAGCAGGAGCAACTGGGTGGCTCAATCAGTTAAGTGTTTGTTTTCAGATCAGGTTATGATCTCAGGGTCCTAGGATTGAGCCCCACATTCTGATCCCCACATCTGACTCCCTACTCACTGTGGAGTCTGTTTCTCCCTTTCCCTCTCCCCCTCCCTCTGTTCCTGCTCTTTCTCCCTTTCTCTCTCTTTCCTACTCTCACTTGCTTTCTTAAATAAATAAAAAAAATCTTCAAAAAAAATTCAACAAGCAAAGATGCTAATTCTCCTCAAATTGAGACATTCTTAACACAATTTCTATCAAAATCCCAGCAACATCATTTGTAGATACAGATAAGATTATTTTCTCTATATCTTGCTTGTAGAGAAATTAGCAAAACAATGAGAATAGCTAAAACAAGTTTAAAGAAGAAGAACAAAGTCAGAGGAAGCATTCTACCAGATTTCAAGGCCTATATAGCTAAGATAATCAAGACTGTGTGGTATTGGTAGAGAGATAGTCATATGGGTCAATGGAACAGAATAGAAAATCAGAATTAGTCGCACATATGTACAACTGATTTTTCAAAATGTGTAAAAGCGGTTCAGTGGGAGAAAGATGCCATTTTCAAAAAATAGTGCTGGAGCATAAGAAAGAAAGAAAGAAAGAAAGAAAGAAAGAAAGAAAGAAAGAAAGAGAAAGAACCTCAATCTCAGCCTCACATATGAAGTTTACTGAAAATGGATCATAGATTTAAGCATAAGATATAAAAATATAAAACTTCTAAAAAAATATAAGAGAAATCTTTCAGACCTAGGGGTAGGGTGAAAAGTTCTTATATAAGAAAACATAATTCACAAAAGAAAAAAAATCAATAAATTGGACCTAATCAAAATTTAAAATGTTCACTCTGCAAGAAGGCCTGTGGAAGGATAGATGGAAAGACATTGCAGAGTGGAAGAAATATTTGCAAGCCACATATCTGACAAAGGACATGTATCTAGAATATAGAAATAACTCTCAAAACTCAACAGTAAAAACCAATCAAACTAGAAGGAAAGACATTCCACTGAAGAGGATATACAGAAATAAGCACATAAGCAAATAAGCACACCAAAAGATGCTCAACATCATTAGCCATTAGGGATACGTGCATTAAGACCATAGTTATGATATTCCACTACATAACTAGTTGGAAAGCTAAAATTAAAAATAGTGGCAATATCAAATGCTGGCAATGATGCTGAGAAACTGGATCTTTTACACGTTGCTGGTGAGAGTGTGAAGTGGTTAAACTCTGGGAAATAGTTCTGTAGTTTCCTTTTTATTTTATTTTATTTTTTACTTTTTTATTTTTTAAAGATTTTATTTATTTATTCATGAGAGACACAGAGAAAGAGAGAGAGGAGTGGGGGCAGAGGGAGAAGCAGGCTCCATGCAGGGAGCCTGACATGGGACTCAATTCCTGGTCTCCAGGATCACGCCTGGGGCTGGGCTGTAGGCGGCGCTAAACTGCTGAGCCACCCGGGGTGCCCTGTAGTTTCCTTTTTTTTTTTTTTTTTTTTAAATTTATTTATGATAGTCACACAGAGAGAGAGGCAGAGAGGCAGAGACACAGGCAGAGGGAGAAGCAGGCTCCATGCACCGGGAGCCCGACGTGGGACTCAATCCCGGGTCTCCAGGATCGCGCCCTGGGCCAACAGCAGGCGCCAAACCGCTGCGCCACCCAGGGATCCCCTGTAGTTTCCTTTTTTTTTTATTTATTTATTTATTTATTTATTTATTTATTTATTTATTTATTTATTTTTTTAATTTTTATTTATTTATGATAGTGAGAGAGAGAGAGAGAGAGAGAGAGAGAGAGAGAGAGAGAGAGAGAGGCAGAGGGAGAAGCAGGCTCCATGCACCGGGAGCCCGACGTGGGATTCGATCCCGGATCTCCAGGATCGCGCCCTGGGCCAAAGGCAGGTGCTAAACCGCTGCGCCACCCAGGGATCCCCCTATTTTTTTATTTTATTATTTTATTTTTTTTTAAGTTTGTCTCTTTTTTTAAAAAACTTATTTATTTTTATGATAGTCACACAGAGAGAGAGAGAGGCAGAGACACAGGGAGAGGGAGAAGCAGGCTCCATGCACCGGGAGCCCGATATGGGATTTGATCCCGGGTCTCCAGGATCGCGCCCTGGGCCAAAGGCAGGCGCCAAACCGCTGCGCCACTCAGGGATCCCATAGTTTCCTTTTTTAAAAGCTAAATATACACTGACCATGTTACCTAGCAAATCACTCCTGGGTATTCATTCCAGAGAAGTGAAAATTTAGTTTTGAAACCTTGTAGATGAATGTTCATAACATAACATAACATAACATAACATAACATAACATAACATAACATAACATCTTTATTTGTTTTTTAAGGGATTCTTTAAGATTAAAAAAAAAATGTTTACTTGAGAGAGAGTGAGTGAGAGAGTGAGAGAGAGCACAGAGGGAGAAGCAGACTACCTGGTAAGCAAGGACCCCAACGTGGGGCTTGATCCCAGGACCCCAGGATCATGGCCTGAGTGGAAGGTAGACACTTAACCAACTGAGCCACCTGAGTGCCCAGGGCTTTCTTCTTTCTTTCTTTCTTTCTTTCTTTCTTCTTTCTTTCTTTCTTTCTTTCTTTCTTTCTTTCTTTCTTTCTTTTTTAAGACTTTATGTTTTAGACCGGTTTTGGGTTCACTTCAAAATCAAGAAGATACAGAGATTTCCCACACACCCTCTGCTCCCACTCATGCGCAGTCTTCCTTATTATCAATATTCCCCCACAGAGTGGTACATTTGTCCAACTGATGAGCTTACACTGACACATCATTAAAGTCCACGTTTTACCTTAGGGTTCACTCTTGGTGTTGTACATTCTCTGGGTTTGGACAAATGCATAAAAACATGAATTTATCAATAGAGGATCATATAGAGTAATTTCACTGCCTTCCAAATCCTCTGTGTTCTATCTATTCATCTGTCTCCTACCCCAACCCCTAGCAACACTGATCTTTCTATTGTCCCCATAGTTCTGCCTTTTCCAAAATGTCATATCGTCGGAACCACACAATATGTAGTCCTCTCAGATTGGCTTCTTTCGCTCGGTGATAGCCATTTAAGATTCCTCCAAGTCTGTTCATGACTTGGTAGTTCATTTCTTTTTAGCACTGAATCGTATTCTCTTGTCTGGATGTGCCACAGTTTATTTATCCACTCACCTACTGAAGGGCACCTTGGTTGTTTACAAATTTTGGCAGTTGTGAATAAAACTACTACAAACATCATGTATAGCTCTTTTTTTTCATGGTAAAGACTGCTTTATTCGTGGCAGTTAGTATAGTATAAATCAATAAATATTGATCTCCAAAGAAGCACTCAGTAATTTATTGATTAGTGGTCCATAGAGAGCTACATGAAACTGATCCTGCTGAGATAATAAACTGAAGTCACTCCTGCTTCTTGGGAAGTGGAGCCACAGCTAGCTGATATATGGCATATGCTGTTCCATCAACTGTGAGCATCGTCCAGGATGCATCACACAAGCTCTATACAGGAGGGCATCTGCCCTTTAGATGTGCTGGAATTCCATTATCCTCCTAAAATAGCTTTTGTTTCTCTGGAACTTTATTTTCAAACTGTCTGCATGAAGCAGCTCATGTGCAGATCTTTGTGTAGACATAAGTTTTCAAGTTCTTTGGGTAAACACTAAGAAACACAACGACCAGATTGTGTGGTAAGCGTAAGTTTAGTTTTGTAAGAAACTGACCAGCTGTCTTCCAAAGTGGCTGCATCATTTCTCACTGCCACCAGCAGCATGTTAGAATTTCTGTTGCTCCACATCCTTGCCAGCATTTGGTGTTGTCAGTGTTCCAGATTTTGGTCACCCTAATAGGTGTGCAGTGGCATGTCATTATCATTATTTTGACTATGCTCCTTGATGCCTCACATCTAGGTTGGGGTTGAGTGGAAATGAACTATTTGTATTTTGTTTGTTTGTCTCGGCCAGGCAAACATCACATCCTTCGATGCATGGGAAACACCGGAATCTGTAGACCCTCCTGCAGAAAGACTGAACAGCCCTACCTCTACTGCCTAAATTATCAGTCATGCTGCCTCCAGTCCTACATGAGGATAAGTATTTCTGGCAGAGAGGAGAAAGATGATTGGAGTCAACAGAACCGCTGGCCAAAAATATCTTGAGTGCTGGTGATCACCATCTTCAACCTGCTGTCAAGACCCCTTATTAAAATTCATGCATCTGCTACCCTTGTCTGTCTTTCATCCATTGGAAAAACATGGTGAGAGACTGAGTTTTGTATGGTGAGATACCCATCCCATTCCAGATCCAGCCCTACAGGAGAGAAGGCTAGAAAACTGTAGGGAATCTAGACAAACCACGGGAGATGGGAGAGAATGTCCTGAGACCACCGAGGGAGAGTTGAAAAGTCTGGGCTGAGCCATGACTTCGTCTGTTCTATGTCAGGCTCAGAGGGGGCCCTGGGCTAGTGGGATGGATGCACAGGGCAGTGGGTGGAGGTCTTGTAGACAAACGTGTCTTAGTTTACAGAAGAACCTCCTAACCAGCGGTTATAAGGTAAATACATTGTCCTGTCAAAGTTTCAAGGTTGTGAGGCTAGAGGTCTGTTTGGTGATCATTAAGGAAGGAATTTGAACATTAGATGCTATTGTTCTTTTCCATGATTCTGTTAAGGACTTTTCATTCTTGAAAATCTAGGAGGCTTGTGCCCCCATTTACAACCAACACTAGCTTTTTAAGGTCAAATTCTCATTGTGCTTTTTATGTCTTACCTCCACTAATATCTCATTTTTTTCTCCACCTTAAGTTTCAAATTTTGTCAAAAGGAGAGGAGTTACATTTGCTGATTATCTTTGTCTATCTGCTGTTTCTCTTCAACTCATTACAATTGGTTTTTGTGTTTCTTGTTCTATTGAACTGGCTCTGGCCCAGCTCATTGTCGCACCTCCTTTTTGAAAGGTTCATGGGGATCCCTGGGTGGCGCAGTGGTTTGGAGCCTGCCTTTGGCCCGGGGCGCGATCCTGGAGACCCGGGATCGAATCCCACATCGGGCTCCCGGTGCATGGAGCCTGCTTCTCCCTCTGCCTGTGTCTCTGCCTCTCTCTCTCTCTGTGTGTGACTATCATAAATAAAATAAAAATTAAAAAAAAAAAAGAAAGGTTCATGGATGTTGCTCAAATTGCATCCCACTCTGCCTCTTGGTAGCATTTCCACCTGGAGTTCATTGTCTCCCTAGAAACAGGAACTTGGTTGGTTTCTATGATTTCACTCTTTGTTTTCCTCCCAACTTCTGGGCTGTTCCTCCTCCATTACTTTTGGAGCTCCTCTGCTGTCGTTTGCTTCCTTGCATTCCTCTGGAATCTCTCTTGTCCTCTGAGAATCAAAACCCTCCATATCCCTAGGATAAAGGTTCTATAATCACATTAAAAAGTAAACACCTTGAGAGGTTTGAAACCTTTCTCATCCATCAGTGACAATTTGTTTCAGTGAACACACCTCTGGAAGCCAAATCGTCAGTGAGAGCATTATAGTTTGAAGATCAGTTAGAGTTGGGTTTACTTCAGGGTCAACACTTGTAAGTTGTCATCAACCCATTTCTGCATCTGTAACCAACACCACTCCCCCAGGATCATTCCCCCAAATGCTGTATAAGTTCAGCACTTTATTCTGCTTAATGAGCCTATGTATGATCAGCATGGCTCTCTTAAATAAAAGAGAGGAATAAAAATAAAACAATCATTTCAGCATTTTGGCTTCAGACTCTATCAGTCTCCTCCTTTGACCATTCTCTTCTCTTCCTTCCTTCTGTGCTGTTGCCCAGACTCTCATAACAACAAACCTTATCATCTGGACAAAACTGGCAGCTCTGACCTCTGTTTCTGGAAGAGTAATTGTCTAAGAACGCAGATGAACCTTCTCATTGAGAAGGTTTCTGCCTCCCTCTGCCTATGTTTCTGCCTCTCTCTCTGTATCTCTCATGAATAAATAAGTAAAATCTTTTTTAAAATCATTAATTTAAAATATATAAAAAAAAACAAAAAACCTTCAGGACACCTGGGTGGCTCAATGGTTGAGCACCTCCCTTCCTCCCAGGGCATGATCCTGGAGTCCCAGCATCAAGTCCCACATCAGGCTCCTTGCAGGGAGCCTGCTTCTCCCTCTGCCTGTGTCTCTGCCTCTCTGTGTCTCTCATGAATAAATAAATAAAATCTTAAAAAAAAACCCTTATGCATCCTTGACCTTCATAAAAAGTAAAGACTATTAAGGCCAAGTGAAATCAGTTGCTTTTCTGAAGGCAGTAACTGAGGCTGACTTTTGTCTTGAAAGCATTTGCTGAATCAGATGAACTTGAGCTTTGATTTCCATGGCTTTGGCCAGGATCAGGTGTAGAGAGGGGAGAGGAGACAGTGCCTAGGGTCTGAAAAAACGGGAGTCTTGTAGGAGACTCCTACATAAATCTCAGTTCTGAAAGTGTTACACATGCTGGGTAAGGAGGATAAAACAGATGCAATATTTGTCCTCCTTCACTAGGCATTTTTCAAGGAATACTGTCTGGTCTTAAACTTTGGTACTCATTACACGGAAAAAAAAATCTCTGTGGAGAATTTACAACCTCAGGTTGGCTCTCACACAGCTTCTCTCTTTTTTAATATTCTTTTTTTAAAATAAAAGAATTTTTAAAGATTTTATTTATTTGAGAGAGAGCAAGCAGTAGCAGAGGGGAGGTGCAGAAGGAGAGGGAGAAATAGACTTCCTACTAAGCAGGGAGCCTGATGTGGGGCTCGATCTCAGGACCCTGGGATCAGGACCCTGGGATCATGACCTGAGAAGAAGGCAGAGGCTTAAGCAACTGAACCACCCAGGTATCCCTTCTTCTTCTTCTTTTTTTAAAAAAATTATATTTATATTTATTTATTTAAAAATATATTATTTATTTATTCATGAAAGATACAGAGAGAGAGGCAGAGACACAGGCAGAGGGAGAAGCAGACTCCATGCAGGGATCCCAACACGGGACTTGATCCAGGGACTCCAGGATCATGCCCTGGGCAGAAGGCAGATGCTAAACCGCTGAGCCACCCAGGGATCCCCTCCTTCTTCTTCTTCTTCTTCTTCTTCTTCTTCTTCTTCTTCTTCTTCTTCTTCTTCTTCTTTTTTAAGGATTTTATTTATTTATTTGAAAGAGAGAGAGCACATGTGAGAGAGCACAAAAGAGAGAGCACGAGTGGGGGGAGCAGCAGGTAGAGGAAGAAGCAGGCTTCCTGCTGAGTGGGGAGCCTGATATGGGGATCAATTCCAGGATCCTGAGATCATGACTGACCTGAAGGCAGATGTTAACCAACTGAGCCACCCAGGTGGCCTATCTCCCTCTCTCTCTCTCTTTTTTTTAAATTTATTTAAGTAATTTCTACACCAGTGTGGGGCTCAAACTCATGACCCCCAAATCAAGAGTCACATACTCTTCTGACTGAGCCAGCCAAGCGCTCCTCTCACATAGTTTCTTGGTATATAGATGGTCTGAAAAAAAATTAAGCTGAGATTTAGCTTAAAGTTGTCCCAAAGTCGTAGCAGCAAAGATGTGTGACAGAAGCAAATGAAGGAGTGGACCTTTAAGTCATGAGTCAGCTAATTTACTCAGATAAGTTCCAAGGAAAATGCATAGCTTAGAGCCCCAAATCACAAAAATCACAAGGAAATAAGGCATCATGAATTAAAGCCAGCAGAAACCACAGACCAGAGATTCAGACTTCAAGGACTTCAAATATCAGAATTATTAGTAACAATAATTTTAAGAATAATTCGAAAAAATAAATTAATGAGATTTGATTTTTCCATCATCATGTGGTTATTACCTGATCATTGTGAAAAGCATTTCAGTACTGGGTAGAAATGATATATTCAAAGCAGAGACTCAGTAGATCTGAAAGGCATAAATAACCTGTAGGACCAGGTGGCTCAGATGCCTGCACTTTGTTTGCTCTCCTTCAAATACACTAATGGTGTCACAGAGAATTCCTATGTTTAGATAACAAAGGAGGAAAAGGAAAACCAGGCTTGTGGAGTGGCTTACACCAAATACTAGCACTGACCAGAAGTGATGCATTATAGCCTGATTTAGAAGTGACCCTGAAATTCAACAGTGAGTAAAGGAAATCCTTTCTGTAGAAGGAGGGATGCTGGATCTATAGTAATTCATGGACAGTGATAACATGCTGACTGGTGGGCTAATCAGTGTCTTAGAACAAGATTAGAAGTTAGGTAAAAATTATGTGTGTGGTGGTTAAGTGAGTAGGCCTCTCTGAAAGTGCACAGAGTGTGTAGATATTTTTGTGCCATCAGAGGGAGATAAATAAAGCTCTCAATAACCAAGTGGACAAAATGACCCATCAGGAAATGGGCTTATGAGACCAACCTTTCAATAGCTTCTCTTCTAAACTTGAAGCAATTGGAGCAAAAAGGAGTCCTCATAGCTTACACCTGGGTCGCCATTTTCCTACACTGAGTGATAATATAGGCGTTTAGGAACAAAGGTGGTGAGTAGTAAAATGGGTGCATTCACCTGAGGTGTCTGTTGTTGTAAAGAAAGGCTTTAGTGTCCTAGAAGCTACTCTTATAAATGCAAGGATTTGGAACTTTGTGACAATTTTTGCTGCCATCAATAGGCAGGATGAAACCCAAAGGACGCCTCTACTATACTAAAGCACGTGTTGAAAAGATAGGACAATGGAAAGAATGGGAATGGAATACCAGCAAACAAGAGACAGTAAAAATGGTTTAAAACTTGCCATACAAAAATTTTGAAATTTTGAGAAAAGCTCTGAGGAGTTTATTTGTTGGAAATATTGAAAAATTTCAGACTTCTTTAGACAGCTGTTTTTATCTAGAATTACACATTGATATTGGGTCGGGGTGGATCACCGATTGGATACCACAATATTGTGGTATTTTCAGTGCTTTATTGTTATGACTTAGTTGATCCTTCTGAGGATGGGGCTGAACGACAGACAGCCAAGAGGAAGTCATGAGCTTTGATGAACCTCTCAGAGAAAGTTCTAAGTTTCCAGTTCTGAGTCAAACTTTTCATTTTCTTTATTCATGGTACTTATTTCAAAACTAGGTGTGGTAAGACTTGTTACCATTGTATCAGTAATATCGAATAGAA